CTAGTGCCCGTAGGGCTTCATTCTGGGCGAGTTTGAAGAAATTCGATTTTTTCGCTATTTCCAAGTCTAGTTGATATTTAGGCGAAGCTGCTCTTAACAGCTATTTATCAAAGGTCTACAGTTAACCGCCGGAGTGAACGAGTGAAGCTAACGTTTCCAGCGATAGTCTTTCATCAGCGTTATAGTCTAAGCTCTAACAAAGGGCTAACGCCTGAAACCTGAAACATCATCTTCACTACCTCATAAAGAACAAAGTTTTTCCGGAAGGATGAGAGTTTGTGGCGGTGACCACAAAGGACCGAATTACTGTCTCAGAAGAAGTGTGACAAAACTCCGGTGGAATTTGTTAGTTGGCACTCGTCTTTGAAAGAATTTCAATGGAAATCCTATTAACTTGTGTGCTCTTGATGCATTTTTTTAGCGAAATTGGTGCTTTAATTTCTTCGCGTTGCCAGAAGAGAGCAGTAAAATATAAACGTGAGATACATGTATTTTACAAGTCGTCTTTGAAAAGTTTAGAATCTGCTTTTTTTTTCTGATTGGTGATAATGCTAAGATCCAAATGCCTAGAAGCTGTTTTAATTGGGGGGAAAATGCCATGCCCCCGGATAGTAACAACATTTCAAACGCCCCGCCATTAGGATTAAAAAGCGAGCAAATTCTGGGTATTGACAAAATTGAAAACACAAATCCCAACAAGTAAAAATTAAAAGATTCGTTTACGAACGATTCTCACAGGGAACTGCACAATAAAAAATTACAAGAAGAAAATGGCCGTAATTAAATTGAGAGGCTATTCCAGGCTACCTTTCAGTGATTGTCAATATACCGAAGTACGCAGCGGATCTGTCGCCTCAAACCCTTGTTTTACAGTCAATTTCTTATTTGCCGAGGAAATCCATAGCTAACCCTAGGCCGGTACGTGGTGATTGCCCGTAGGTTATCGACCTAAGAAAATTGACCTAACCCTAGGGCCGTATGTGTTGATCGCCCGTTGGTTGGACTTAACTTGCTGGCAGGTTAAATTAGGTCTGATTGCCTGAAATTATACGGCCCTGCAGGAACAACGATCATCCGCCCAATTTACAGGGCTTTTCCGGTTTAGAGTTAATCCAAGGCGACTGATTACCGAAACGTTAGTTGCAATTCAACAATCCTACTTCAAAATTATAGCCCTGGGAACAAGGTTGCATTAATATAGCCCCTCCTTCCCTATAGAAGGTGTCAATATGGCACTGTGAGTGGAGTCACACCTCTTAGTGTGTTGTAAATTTGAATGAATTTACACCCAGCGCATTTCCACCCCCGACTTATAAAAGTGTATCACGGTAACAAAAGAACTCACGCGTGCTGCACGTTGTGTTCTTTATGATATATTCACGTTCAAGGTACAGTACATATTTCACGTTAAACGTAGAGCACACAGGTTCCCGCTCCACCACCCCCTGCTTACTAATTAATCTAACTTAATGAACAATAAAGGTATATTATAACTGGTTAAAGTTGTAAACTGCCCCTGCCCTTCTGGAACCATTAAGATAATAGAACCAAATTACGACTGGTACGCCCACTCGTACGCCAAGGAAAAGTAAAATCCAAATATTACTTGGCTCCCTTGAAAATTACAATGAGGACCAACTCAGTGGCAATGTAAAAACAAACATCAATAAACCATTATCAACCTGCCATATTTTCTTATACATATTTCCTCTTTTCTAGGAGTGAAGCAAATTGATCACATTAATACCTGAACATAAAAATGTTAAAAGGAAGTATAGAGAACCACATGGGAGACCTTGATAATGCAAAAGGATTGGGCGATAAGGCTGGAGAAGGACGTGCTTGTAGCAATCTTGGCAACGCCTACCAACAGCAGGGTGATTTCAAACAAGCCATGGATTACCACAAGCAGCATCTTAACATTGCAAAAGAACTGGCGGATAAGGTCGAGGAAGCACGTGCTTACTGCAATCTTGGTATTGCTTACAAAAGTCTGGGTGATTTCAAACAGGCCATAGAGTGTCACAACCAGCAGCTTAGGATTGCAGAGGATCTGGGGTTGAAAAATGGAGAAGGATTTGCGTTATGCAATCTTGGCAACGCCTACCGGAATCTGGGTGATTTTAAACATGCCATAGATTACTACAAGAAATACCTCAGCATTGCAAGAGAACTGGGGCAGAGAGATGGAGAAGGACGTGCTTTCTGCGGTCTTGGCAACGCCTTCCATGGTCTGGGTGATTTCAAACAAGCCATGGAATACCACAAGGAGCACCTTAGCATTGCAAAAGAACTAGGGCAGAGAGCTGGAGAAGGACTTGCTTATGGCAATCTTGGTGTCATTTGCGATAGCATGGGTGATTTCAAACAAGCGTTAAAGTACCACAGTCAACATCGTAGCATTGCAAAGGAACTGGGGCAGATACAGGCAGAAGGACGTGCTTGCTGCAATCTTGGCAACGCTTACCAGGGTCTGGGTGATTTCCAAGAGGCAATAGAATTCCACAGCCAACATCTTAGCATTGCAAAGAAACTGCGGCAGAGAGATGCCGAAGGACGTGCTTATGGCAATCTTGGCAACGACTACATGAATCTGGGTGATTTCAAACGGGCCATAGATTACCACAAGCAGGCTCTGAGCATTGCAAAAGAACTGGGGCAGGGAGATGCAGAAGGACGTGCTTATTGCAATCTTGGCAGCGCCTACAGAAATCTGGGTGACTTCAAACAGGCCATAGATTACAACAAGAAATATCTGAACATTGCAAAAGAACGGGGGCAGAAAGCTCAAGAAGGAAATGCTTATGGAAATCTTGGCAACGCCTACAAGAGTCTGGGTGATTACAAGCAGGCCATAGATTACCACAAAAAGCACCTCAGCATTGCAAAAGAACTGGGGCAAAGAGATGGAGAAGGTCGTGCTTATGGCAATCTTGGCAACGCTTACAACAGCCTGGGTTATATTAAACGGGCCATAGATTACCACAAGAAATCCCTTAGCATTGCAGAAGAACTGGGGCAAAAAGATAGAGTAGGAAGTGCTTATGGCAATCTCGGCAACGCCTACCAGAATCTGGGTGAGTTCAAAGAGGCCATAGGTTACCACAAGAAACACCAAACCATTGCAGAAAAACTGGGGCAGAAAGATGAACTAGGAGTTGCTTATTGCAATCTTGGTAATGCCTACCTGATTACAGGTCCTTTAGAAGAGGCTATAGAGTACTACGAGAAAGATCTTAATATTGCAAAGGAACTAGGGCAGAGAGTTAAAGAAGGACGTACTTATGGCAATCTCGGCAACGCTCACCTGCGCCTTGGTAAAATAAAACAAGCCATGGACTATTTCGAGAAACACCTTGGCATTAGTAAAAAACTGAAAGACAGAGATGGAGAAGGAAAAGCTTATGGCAATCTTGGCACAGCTTACCAGATTCTGGGTGATTACAAACAGGCCATAGATTACCACAAGCAATATCTGAGCATTGCAAGGGAACTGGGACAGAAAAAGGAAGAAGGGAGTGCATGCTATTCTCTAGCTTGTGATTTCGAATTATCGGATGAGTTGCCTGAAGCACTTAATTATTATCGATCCAGTGTAAGAGTCTACAATGAAGTAAGAAGTCTTCTTCAGTCTGAGGATACGTGGAAAATAAGCTTCCGTAACGCATGTCAGCATTCTTACACTGCCCTGTGGAGTCTTCTACTACGTCTTGAAATGCCCAAAGAAGCTTTAGGTGTTGCTGAACAAGGACGAGCACAGGCCTTGATGGATCTGATGAAATTGCAATATGGCTCTGAGTCACTGGAATCTAAAGCAACTACGGCTGACGTATTGAGTGAGATTCCCACGCAAACAGTTTTTATCGCACTGCAAGGTAACATAGTCAATTTATGGCTACTCATTGGTACAGATGTTCATTTTGAGAAAACGAGCATTGAAGATGTCACCTCGCTAATGGAAAATTCCTTCAAAGAAATTGGTGTTCGTGTCGATGTTAAAAGCGAGAATCGTTCAGCGGATGAGTCAGAAAGTGACGCACCACTCAATGAAGAATCTTGCCAGAAAATGGTTGATTGTAAAACCAATTCTCTCCGCCTCTTGTTCGATACTGTAATTGGCCCAATTGCATACTTGCTCAAAGGCGACGAATTAACCATTGTCCCGGATGGCCCATTGTGCTTGGCCCCTTTTGCCGCGTGTGTGGATGAGGCCGATAAATATCTGAGCGAATCTACCAGGTTCCGCATTCTTCCCTCGCTTACAAGTTTAAAATTGATCACAAGTTGTCCAGAGGGCTACCATAGTAAGAATGGAGTGCTTCTTGTGGGAGATCCATGTTTGAAGAGAGCCAGGCAAAAGCATCGCGAGTTAGACCCTTTGCCAGGGGCCAGGATGGAAGTACAGATGATAGGCGAGATTCTTAACACCAAGCCTCTTACGGGAGAAGAAGCAACTAAAGATGAGGTGCTTAAACAGCTAGGCTCAGTTGCCTTGGTACACATTGCAGCTCATGGTGACGTGAAAGCTGGCGAAATTTTGTTGGCCCCAAATCAGACATCCAAGACCCCCAAGGAGAAAGACTACATGTTAAGAATGTCAGATGTACAAGCTGTTCAGCTGCGAGCGAGACTTGTTGTACTCAGTTGTTGTCACAGTGGTCGAGGGAGGATTACACCTGAGGGTGTGGTCGGTATTGGCAGGGCTTTCCTGGGCGCTGGTGCTCGTTCGGTGCTGGTGTCACTCTGGGCAGTTAATGACGAAGCCACTATGGAGTTTATGAAAAGCTTTTACGAACATTTGGCTCGCGGGCGTAGTGCTAGTGTGGCTCTAAACTGGGCTATGAAATGTCTCCGAGAGTCAGAGAAGTTTTGTGCCGTGAAGCTCTGGGCTCCGTTTGTCCTCATCGGTGATGACGTCACGATCGAATTCGGACAAAATCAATAAGAACATTGAGTGTACCTTTTACTTTCAGTTGACTTTAGTTTGATTATTTGATGATTTGGATAAAGGTTTGCATTGGAAGAGACGTAACTTTGCCAGAGAGATTTGCGTCCAATATCTTCTTAGCAAAGGCGGATATGTCACCTGAGCCTGCGCGCCAGAAAAGTTTACATTTGGCTATCACCCGCTTGTCCGGTAAACTGCTCTCACCAAATTACCCACCGTGGAACTTAATTCAGAGGGTAGATGTTGCAATCATTTGACCTCGCAGGGACAACATCGGGACCATCGCAAAGAGAAACTGTGTGAACCAAACTTGACAATACCGCCTTGTCAACTGATCATTTAGTGGTAAAGCAACAGATTGGAAAAAGAGAGCGGGGACTGAAGAGACAACGTGAAACATGACCAAGATGAAATGACTTCCTCCCCGCGAGTGACTGTTCAATTGATATTGACACATTCAAACAACATTCAGTCAGTGTAGTTGGCACATTAGTGTTTACTGTGTTCGTACATGGATTCTAAAGTCGGTTAACATCGATTAGGTTTAGTTCAACTCTTAAGTGGAGATGTTTTGTGGAACTTCCACCTGCATGTGTGGAGTGCATTCGAATATGCATTTACTGTTTTAGCTTACATTTGAAACATACTTTGCCTTCGTGACATCGCGGAAAAGCAAGGAGAACTTATTTCATCGCGTATTAAACGTTACATTATAGTAACGGATTTATTTGTTTCAGTTTCCGCTTGTAGTTTAGAGCTTTTTGTTGTATTTGTATTTTAGGAGCTAAATTGTGTGTTCCCGTTGTCGAATTTTCCATAATAGTTTAGCCATTGAACAGGCCAGGCTCCCGATTGGTTTATAGGACGAGAAAAAGAAAATGGCTAACGGAGAGCAGTCTGGAGAGGAAAAAAAGTACACCGGCCACGCTCGGCTGGCTTCACTCGCCCACCCTCGACTAGCTTCGTATGCCCAATTCTTTTGGCGCCTGCCGAAATTTTTCGACCTATACATGTTTGATCACCGTCCAATCAAACAAAATGTTTTACAATGATTGATCAAATGTTTGTCGTCTTTCAAATTTTATCAAAGAAGGCCAAACACGATCAAACAAGATGTCCAAACGGGAAAATGCTTTAGTTGCCAAACAATGATTGATCGCCAAACATTTAAGGCTTCATTTTTATGGGAATAGAGTTCTTTCGATAGAAAACTGTTAGAGTTTGCAAGTATGATATTATGTTAATCAGTCATAGTTATAGTTCAACGAAAAATGTGATTACAATCGTGTATGTTCTAAAGAAGGGTCATATTAAAACTCTAACTTGTATTGTTTCAAACAGAGATCTGATTTCTTCTCTTCTCCGCAAGGCGAGCGTGGTCACGTGACTGTGATTAATAAAACTGAAACGAGCTCTCTGTAAGTGACGACTTTGACTTGACAATGTTTGGGTCGATAAACCTGTACCCAATGGGCGTTTTTAGTGTTGGTCAAATCTTTCAGTTCTTAATATAAAGAAAAAATAGAAAAAGAATAGAAAAAATATCTTTGGTATTTTTGACTATATAGTACTTGTTCTATACCAGTCGAATCCAGCGGTAACAAAATGCAAGGAAAACAGCGACTAGAAAAGGTTGTAGCCATTTCAGTCGTTTGGTCAGCGGTGTATCAAAAGCACTTGCCTTTGCTCAAGTTTTCAAGCATCCTTTCTGTTACTATGTTTTTGCATCTGGTTTTTTTTGTAGGAGACAGGAGAAGACAGCTCGCAATCCAACTGCGTCAATACTTCATTCATATCTACCCTGCATCCCCGAGGGAGTACCCCATATATAAGCTATACGTGTATATGCCGCTGTGAAGGGTGAGGTTTTCAGGCAGTCTCGTCTGGGATAGGGTATAGAAATCAGAGAGTCTTGAACTGGAATAGGGTGTAACTGACTGGGAAAGTGGCCAGTGTATAAGTAGTTTAGTCTCGGCACAGAGTTCTTCACCCGGGGTTCTATATAATAGAATTTGAAACTCGGAACTAACTTTGAAAGCCGTGATATTTGTTTAGTTAGCGTATGTTGGGCTACGATATAGTGATGAAGTTTCCGCATGTAGAATCATGGCTAGCCTGGAGTAGGGTAGGGACTTTAAATGCCAAGTCTAGAAGAGGGTTGCAAAATCAAGCTAATTATGGTCTAGTATAAGGTGAGGGTCAAAGATTTACAGGGTATCCCCCGGACCTATATCTCGGCTATCGATAAGGATTACCGACATTCAATTTCTTTGGCAGGTCTTTGTTGCAAAGGACAAAGTGACCAATCATTCTAACTAAGTTCCGAGGCTTGGTGAAGAAGTAGACTAATCCCCGAGTGGATACTCATAAAAAAACAACGGGGGTTTTCGTCGTACCTCTTAGGGGAAGCTATTGCGGTACCCTTTAGGGTATTGAGCGGAAAAAACATAACAGAGCTATGTGGTTTTAGAAGACTGAGAATTGGTACCTCTTAAGGGTGAAAACATTTCAAGCCACACCATCAAAACAGGATCTTGGTACCTCTTAGGGCTTCTTTTCAAAATTTCCGACGAACACCCTGGTCCTTTTTATATAGGAGTTCCCTCCGGGCACTGATCCTTCCCTTTTATTACGTGTGTGTCTTAAGAGAACTCTTCAGTAGTAACCTCGATCCCAGGCTCTCTTTCCTTTAGCGCACTGAACGTAATTTTCTCTGAGCCTAAGAAATTCCACAGTTCTTGAAACAAGTATCGTGAAAAGCGTTTTGTTACCGTAGAATTCCGCAAATAAATCCCATGGTTATTTGTTTGGCTTTCGCGTTCGGACCCTGAAGGGAAGGGGTGGCCATATTATTTGAATTACAGCTATTTGCAAGAATGGTACGGTTCAGTCTCTGAATTCTCCCTACCTCACTCTATACAAGGATTACAACCCTTCTCCACACGATGGGTTAATTCGTCCCCAAGTAGAGTCGGGCAGCCGAGGAGAATCACTGAACTGAGCTAAGGATGGTTTAGCGATGGGCTCGAATTTCACCGCTCTTTGTTCTGCTCTCCGGGGTCCAGTCCAATCTCGAGCCGACGCAACCGCTGACCGAGCCGGAGAGACTCTGGGATCGAAACTAGATCGAAACTGGGTCCAGTCGCGTTGCTTCCCGAAACGAGACGGCTGGAGGCTGGAGGGGCACGGGCTCTTTTCGTACCACATGCAAAAAGGCATTACACGTAATATGTTAAGTGACAAAGAAAAGAGTGAAATTAGAAAAGGCAATGAAGACACAGCAGTTGCTGATACGGCATTATCCATTTTATTTCCTTATGAATAAATAGTACCGTACATATTTTAATATCTTGTAAGTTTTATATATACAGGTATAAGCAATTTTAATACATATATGCAATAACAGTGGCTCTCTGATCTGCAAAGTACCTGCAATGCACATGTGCATAAAACTTGTAATTTATTATTTTTGTACAATTTATTGTTTTGTATTGTGTAGTTCCAGAAAATATCCATACCTCCCCCATGAACAGGATTTTTTCTAAGACCCCCCCACCCCTCTGAAAATTCCAGTTAAGCTTCACACGTTTCTTTAAATTTTTTGGTCTTAAAGAACCCCCACTCCCCCNTGATCTGTAGAGTACCTGCAATGCACGTGTATAAAATTTGTAATTTATTTTTCCTGTATAATTTAATGCTCATACTGCTGTAAATAAATACATAAATACATCTTTATCTGTAACTTTTACTAAATTGCTAGCTTTGTGAGGGCAAGCCAAACTAGCTCCTGCTCTGTGATTGGCTACCTTGAGCATGCAAGATGAGAAAATAGTGACCTATATGCTATAATAATTATAATAAATCTTTTATTGACTAAGCTTGTCAGGTCAAGATGGCTGGATATAAAGGCCAAAATGTCTGTCTTTTTTTATTGTATAATTTTTATATAGCCATATTTTTTTTTATCTATTTTTCATTGTGGGTCTAATATCTATATTGTTTTGGTCTTTCCCACATTTTAAAACTATTTCAATATTGAGTTTGATTTGTATACAGTGTGGTTCTGAAAACCACTGAACAAATGTGATGAAAATTATTCTACTCTGTTTAAAAATATTATAACTATTAAGATCCTATGCTTGGTCAACAACCTTTATTCAATAATTCATTGGACTAAGTCATAACTTTAGTATTTTGGTGAGTCATTAAAACTTTGACAAAGCTCAGTCTAAAAATATCTCCTCACAAAGAAATCTTTGACATTGTGCTTTTCAACGTAACACCTGTGAACAATACTAGTGGCCTATTTTGCACTATTAATTTGTAAAAGTAATTATTAAGGCCTTGTAAAAGTGATTTTAAACAAAACTAGGTCTGCATTGTGCAGTGTATGTGTGTCGCTAGATTAAAGTATTATTAAAATATGACACTGGTAACTTAAATACAAAGTAAAAAATATTCAGATTGTCAGCCAGTTTGATCTAAAAACCAGTTAAGGTACACACTGTAAGTTATAAAAGTTGTCAGAAATAATATTTCTTGACAGCATACGCTACGGAAGCCTGAGAATAATATCACTCATTGCGCTCTCGAGTGGAACCCTCAGGGGTCTAGAACAAGAGGTCGCCTAAAGCAATCCTGGAGGCGAAGTGTGATAGCTGAGCTTGCCAAGAATAAGTTCACGTGGATAGAGGCAAAGCGAACTGCCAGTAATAGAGTTAGGTGGAGATCCATGGTTGACGCCCTATGCTCCCCTTTAGGAGTGAAGATGGCCTACCCTTGTGAGATGACTTTAAGAATTCCTAGGAATTCCTAGGAATTTCCTAAGAATTCCTAGGAAAAAATTCCTAGGAATTCCTAGGAGTTTCCTAAGAATTCCTAGGAAAAAATTCCTAGGAATTCCTAGGAATCTAAGGTGTGAATTTTCACGGTAATTCGGACTCGGAATTCCTAGGAATTCCAA